CATGAAGATGTTCAACAAAAACTGTATGAAGAAATTCTTACAATTGGGGACGACATGAATTACAACAACTTAACATACATGGATGCTGTTATCAAAGAAGCGCTCAGACTATATCCACCGGTTCCATTCATTGGTCGTGTTCTTGGCGAAGATACGATTATCGGTATAAGGAATTTGCGTCATGAAATGCAATGAATTTATAAATTTTACTCTGATTTCTTATCAATACTTTACTTATATCATACACTTAATGCTTTCTTATCAAATATTCTCGTAATTTTATTTCATTCCTTTCAGACAATGTCAAACTACCAGCTAAAACAATCATACATATCGTTATATTTATGTTGCATTGTGATCCAAAATACTTTCCTGATCCAGAAAAATTTGACCCAAATAGATTTATAAACAATGAAATTAAGCACCCATTTGCCTACGTTCCATTTTCAGCTGGACAACGTAATTGTATAGGTGTGACATAATCAAATGAATAACACTTCAAATTGTATGAATTTCGATTTCTGATTTTTGTTGATTCAATTGCTTTTCTGTTTGCCTAGGTCAAAAGTTTGCAATGATGGAATTGCGTACAGCTGTCGGCGAGATAATAAAAAATTTCAAATTGGTACCCATTACGAAACCAGAAGACGTTGTCATAATATCTGATTTAATTTTAAGAGCAAGGGATCCAATCCGAGTCAAATTTGTACCGAGAAACTAATAACATAATTTATTTGCGAAAAAATATCGATTTAATTAATTTGTTTCAGAAAAGTAAATTATTTTCTAATAAAAAAAGGAAAATTCAATTTAGTATTGTATTTCTTCAAAAAAGAACGAAATAGAAAGTATTTCGAGCTGAGGTCTGTCATAAAGTTACATAGAAATGAGAGCAAAGTACAGGGGCAGTTTAAAAATAGAAATGGCTTGTATTGATCCATGATAACAATTCTTAATTGCAGTCATACATGACAAAACTAAAGTTCATGCGCTGATAAGATTGATTTTGCCAGTACAGAGTACACTCAATTAAGTAAATATTTATAAACTGTTTTCAACAACTTGTTGCGACTGAAGAAAGCAATACGTATATTTACCTTAACACAATTAAATATTCCGAAAGTTCATTAGCATTAAATAAATTATTCTGAATTTCAACTAATCTGATTTCTCATAAACTGTTGATCTTAAACGCATCCAAGAAGTTCACTTGGTATACAGAATTGCATTTCTTGTAATTGGCATTTTAAAATCATTGTAAATGAACTGTAGCTGTGTCAGTGTGTTTTACTACTTTGAGTTGACCGTTTTGCTACTCAGTTACTTTGAACGATTTGTATTAAAATGATTTGTGCGGTGGCGATGATTTTGTGTTCATTCGCAGCACTTTTGATACTGTTAGACTTCTTAGTAAAACGATTTACTACGTACAATATTGCCAAATCAACACAAAGTCTACCGATGTATCCAATTATTGGGTCAACTAAATTTTTATTCATTTCTCAGGGTGAGCTTGGTGCATTTCCACGCTCTGCTCGCACTCAATTTAAAGCAATGTATTGGGTTTCGAACACGCAGATGTGCTGCCACCTGGTATCTCAAAGTTAAGCTGCTATAACGCACATGCAATGTAAATGAAGAAGAAGAGGAAAGCAATGTCTTTACATAGGGTTGAACTTATAAATGTCAGAGAGCAGCACAACTGCAGTGTTCAAAGTGCGATTGCCCTTCGTGCATTTCATTTGTGATGACACGTCACAGTAATTTGCGAAAATATTATTAATTTTGTGTTTCTTTGGCAGAGAAATTTTTTGAATTGGGAAGACATTATTGTAGAATTTTTCCAAATGTTCATGTTTTTTGGTCATTCGGTATTTTGGTCTATAACATTTATTCAGCTCATTCGTTTGAGGTAAGATATTTTTCATATAATTTATGTGATTTCAATTGAAAGCCAGTAAAGTAATATCTTTCATATTTTGTTCGAAAAACTAGCAAATTGTCACAGGTCCGAAACATATTGAGAAAAGTCCATATTACAAATTTTTGCACCATTTACTGGGCACTGGGCTACTAACTAGCACCGATGAAAAATGGTTTACACGACGAAAACTATTGACACCAGCATTTCATTTCAATATTCTGAACGGATTTCAATCAACTTTTAAGTAAATAGAAAAGAATTTAAATTGTTCAACACAAATTGTAAATTAATTGTTTATTACAGTGAACAAACGGAAATTCTATTGAGAGAAATTCGAGAAAATGAAATCAACAAACCCGAAGGCACTCATTTACAAAAATTGATCTCAAGATTCACATTAAATACGATTTGTCGTAAGGAATTTTTAATTTTTCGCATTTTAACTATGAGCAAATTATTTATATAAATATCGAAATTATAGAATCATCGATGGGTGTAAATTGTCAAAAATCGACGAACTTGATGATTATCGAAGTAAAATCAATGGAATTGGGAAATATCAAGTAGAACGTATGACAGTGCCCTGGTACTTACTCGACTGGACTTATAATTTATTTGGAAATGGTTCGAAAGAAAAAAAATTAACTGAGCAGGTGCATGCATTTACCGGCGGTGTTATTGCAACAAAAAGAAAAGCGTTTGTTTTGAATCAAAACAAAACAAATTCGAATGAGGAAGAAAATTCTGCTTATAGTAAAAAGAGATATGCTATGCTGGATACACTTCTGATGGCAGAACAAAATCAACAAATTGATGAAAATGGTGTGCAAGAAGAGGTTGATACATTTGTATTTGAAGGAATTGATACGACAATGACCGCAATTACATTCATTTTGTTTGCGATTGCAAATCA